AGTCGGTTTCATCTCCTTGAAAAAAAGTCGGTAGAAATCCATCCCACTCTCGACAAAATGGGGCAGTAAAGTGTAAACAGTGCCTGACTCTTTAATACAGTAGCGCTCAAAAGCCTTCCGCCAGGGGGAAAAATGTTTTTCAATCATAATTTTTTTCTTGCGCGAGGAAATCGCGCGAAATCTTGATATGTTTAGCTGGAGTATATTTCACACTATCAGACACTATTTTTCTGCAAAGCAGCAATATCCACGTAACTAAGAGCAAAGGGTTTGTTGCAGTAGTATACTTTGTCGAAAGCAATGTCTGCGACGTTTGGAACTATTCGCACCTTGTACACGTTTTTCTCTTTCACGATGTTCGGCATCAGCGCGTACACTTGAAACATCGCAAAGAGAAGTTTCAGTAGGTCATCATCCGTATTTACAGTTGATTTTGAGTTCAAGCTCTTTAGGGTACCTGGAACATGATGAGAGGGCAGGCTAATAGTTATGAAGTTAGTTATTCACACTACACCCATGTTACACATAGTGAAATTTTGCATGATTAGATCCAGTAGAAAAGGTGTTACGACTGAAGGAGAAAACTGAAGAAGCATTTCGCCGAATACTTCTGAGCGCTACTGTATCTTTCATCCAACCACCTCCTGTATCAGCTGTCGTCTCGTTGATCATCGACTTCCTCGAGCGGGCGCCAGTAACGTCTCCGTTCGTCCCTGACACGAATCAGTGTGGTCCAGTTAATCGTTCTCGCTTGAGGGACACGAGGTTCAATGTTCCTTCCGTTCTGAGCTTTCGCGAAGAAGTCCGACCATCACGTTGGCGGCCTTCCTGGAGTTCATTTGATGTCCCGAGGGATCCAGTCAGTAACCGCTCTGGTCCAACGGTCATCACTATATCGCGTAACGTGTCCGGCCCACTTCGATTTCTTGCCGTAATCAACGACATCCCTGATCTTCTTTCGTTGACGGAGCTCGGAACACCGGATTCCCTCCTGCACTTGCGTGTATAGGGGAATTC